AAGATTCACTCAGATTCCACAAACAAAACACCTCTTATTTATAAGGAGGCTTCTACAGGTTTGTGGTGCTCTCTGCTGCCCAATTCAGGTGGAGCTGTCCCTCACTTGGAGATTCATAATTCCCCACAATCGTTGTCTTCGTCCATTCCCTGTTCTGGCTGCTTGGATTGGAAAGGGGCTAATACTTGGATGGTGCCTTCAGTTACAGGAGGCATTGTACATGATCTAAGGCACAACCTAGCCAACTCCCACTCATAGGCAATACAGTCCCTTCTGGCCAACATGTGCAAGTATTTCAGAGACTACACCAATTCCAGAGCCTTTTGCTGTATATTAATGGCTGGCTCACATTAGAAAACAGCACAGGTTTTCCTCAAATAGGTCAATCACAACATGGGGAAAGCACAATCTTGTTCCTTCAGCTGGCATTTGCTCAAAGTGCCAAGGAACCTAAGTACTGAAAAACAGCCTGCAAAAACCAAGGTTACACACTTCAGGGTAATAAGAGAAAACATGAATGATCTTCTAGTCACAGTTCTGTGATTTCCCTCCAAACAGGATTTTTGATTCAGACATACAGAACTTTCCTATCCCTAGTTAAAATTTAAACCGACCAAGAGAAAATAATCTCCCTACAAGAAGGCTGGCTGTGAGGTGGATCAATCCATATACTTCTTAAAGGGCACCAATCCTCTAAACCCCAAATAATTTCAACTTTCAGAACAAAGGAAAACTATGGGGTATGCTTCAGGTACAGAAAAGACTTAGCACCTTTTTAAAGGAAGCATCAGAGCCTGTGGATTTCAAATCTCTATGTGGAGAGTAGGAAAGAGCATAACAGACTTACTTCGCATAGAAGCATAACATCCATTTTTTAACAGAACCATAGCTTACCACTGGCAATAAGTACACCTAAATTAGTACAATCAAGATACCCATTTCCCTGGTATCTTCCTGCTTAGACACCAGGACCCCAAGAACTCTCTGGGCTGCAGCCACATGCCAAGGAGAAAGGCAGGCATGAGAAGAGTCTGAACTTCTTAATGAACTCACACTAAGCTCATCATGCAGAGAGGAAGCAAGAGACAGAAATGAGGCCACTAAAGATCCATTCTTCTCTCCTCACATTCCTCCACTTGAGCAGACTTGTATGTGGCTACATAGTCCTCCACTCCTAGAGGTGCTAGTGGGGAGCAGTGTGCATCCTTTGTTGTGGTACCTGCTACATTGAGTCCAGACACTAGGTGTTCAAAGCACAGGTGGAAAAAGCCCTAGAAAGGTATGGTGAGGATCAATCTAGAACGTTCACTGCTCCAGGAGCCTTACCTCTGTGACCTGCAGCATAACCTGCCTAGACCACATATTTATGTACAGTGCTAATTTGCAGTCTGAAGTCTTGTTCCATTTGTTTTGCATTGAGTCCTCTACCACCCAATCTGATATTGACCGTTTTCCTTCATGTCTCATTGCAAGTGCTTAGAAGAAAGTCATTCTAATCGGCTGCTGAAGTTTCCAACCGATGTTCATTCCCTGGCCCCCAGGATCTGGTGAGAGACTGGTCATAGGGTGAATGTAGTCTGATGAAGGATAAGACAGCTTCTTTGGATAACTTCTCTGGGTCTTCCTTTTTTTGAGAGTCATGCACTTTGCTACCATCTTTCCAATCCCAGAAAAGGCGACTGCAGTAACAAGTGCTGTGGGCAAAGAAGAGAGAAATGGGCACAGAAATTGACCCAGGTGATGGAGGCTACACTGGATACATATATTCAAATAAGGGGCCCTCCAACCCCAGCACCTCCGGTTAAAATATTCCCAGGAACACACTGAAGATCGTTGCTTGAGTCAGTGAAGTAATATTGCAAGTCAAGATGGGTGGTAGTGGGCTAAGTGATCCTGACTCAGAATAAGGCTGTTCTTTAGAATCAACCTACAAAGCCCACAGAATGGTTCATTTCAAAGAATTTGGCCATGTACACATGTTCTCAGGAAATAAAGGATATCTGAGAAACCTAAATTAGGCACAGAACCACCTCCAGCAACAGTTAAAACCAGACCAAGTACCAAAAAAGCACAAAGACTGTGCATAACTTTATACACCTAGTACATTATTTTTTTTATTAAGACGCTAATGCGCAACATCCTGACAAAGGTGGTCTCCAAGCATCACTTGTTCCTTTGCTGCCACAAGAGAGAAGGTGGAGGAAAAGGAAAGAAGGGGGCAGAGCAACTATTTATTGGAGTTGCTGATTTTGACCCTTCTCTACCTCACCACTTTTTAATTGACCTCAAACAGGATGAGCCCCACATAGTTTGCTGCTCTTTCAAAGGCAAGAAATAATCTGAGGAACTGGTGGAAATCCCACACCTTGAGCTTTCCTAGCCAGAGGAATCAGTCCCAAATAACAGAAGGCCAGAAGTGAGCAATCAAAATGGCCAGGAGCCGGAGGTGTGGGCAAGGACTTGTGGAAGGCAAAAAGAGTATTCTCTTACTACTGGAAGCCTGCTAAGAAGCCTAATTTCTCCCTCTTCATCCAGTTGCAGTGACACATTTTCCCAAGTTGTTCATTCTTTTCTACAGAAATTTAATACTATGATATGGTACAGCTAAGGTATATTTTGGACAGAGGAATTTTAGACTTGCAGGCTGCATCTCTAATTCAGTCTTCCCAGCTACCTCCAAAGTAAATATTCAAGCAGCCTACACGGGGTTACCTTTTACTGCTTCTAGCAGCTGGATGCAGCTGATGAGGTACTTCATTTATACTATGGCTATGCTGTGCCTGTACTGCTATACCTAGCATTATGACAGGCATAGCAAGAGAAAGAAGGGATCTGCTGGCTAACTTTGAAAGGAGAATGTGCAACTTATGCAGCAGTCCCCAAATACTGGAAGTCAGTGATATAGTGAAACAAAAGTTTTGTTACCTTTACTCCTATGCCTTAAGAGAAAGCCCAACTTTGCCAAGATTATCGATCATTTCTGCAGGATATAAAAACTGTAGGGCTGCTTTTGCAGACAGACACCCCCCAGTCAGTTTTATAAAAAGAAGCTGTTTTAACAGAAACAGCCTTAGTTTGGCCTCAAGTCAAAACAGTGACTAGGAGGAGAGAATCAATGTCTTTTAAGTGGAAAGAGAGGAAAGCCCAATGCACAGAGCCAAAGGGGGGGTGGCTTTTGAGAGGGTGAGGGAAATGAAGTAATCCCACAAGAATCTATAAAAGGCCTTACAGGAGACTTCAGAAGGTCCAGAAAACAAATTAGACAGAGCGGAAGCTATAGCAACTTTGATTGTTCAAGCAAAATTGACATTTTAGATAAAGAAGTTTAGTACATTTAGATCTTTAAAAGAAATCGCTCTCTTAGACCAGTCTCATTGGAGATTAAATTCTCTCCCAGGTTTAAGGGCGCTGTCTTCCTGGAATAAGATTGAGTGCTTCATTCCATAGACAGAGCAGACATTGAGCCCAACAATTACTAGTATTTAATATTCACAGTCCCTTTAGCTACACTGTTCTATGAGAGTGATATTAGCATTGTGATAAAAAAATATACTAGTATCTAATCACAGCAACTTTAAAGCACATAAATGATAATACAATGCATCCTTTGTCAAAATCACACAGAAGCCTTTTCCTTCCTTTCCTTTTCCTTATTGTTTTAAGTTTTGTGCTGAAATGCTATCATAAGACATATGCAGCATGGGTATAGGGAATGGAAAGAAGTTTCTGAAAATGTCTGAGTTACTGCTTGCTTAGAGAGCTGACAAAGGGAATGCAAATAGCTCCCACTGTTTCTCTTCAAATCCATCAGGGCAAGAAAGGTGAGAAACTATAAGGAAGTTAGCAGGAGTATCTAGGTCTCAGAAACTGTCACATCTAAGAGCTATGCTGGCTTTTTCATAGAACAGGAAAAACTTCTGAGAATAAGGTCATCATTGCCCACACAATCCAGATAAAAAGAATTGTTAATCCTCCTCTTAACCCTGCTGGATAAGCTACAATTCTTCTGTATTGTATGTCCTTGGTTCAGATTTGTAACTGGAAATGAATATAGCTCTTTATACATGTAGAATCCTGTACTGTATAAAAGAGCTGAATCAGCAGGTTCCTCTACAGGAGCTGGGACATCGATAGTGATACTTATAGAAAGGTGATGAAGAGGGTGGCAAATTCCAAAGAATAGGGGAAAGGAATAAACAGAAGGTTTGCCTAAAAGTATCAGTAAAGCATTTTTAATCCCCTGGTCAATGTTCCTGTGTAAGCACACCATGGAGGAAAGAAACCAGCCTTCCTAATTGCCACAAGAGCTTGGAGGAGTGAAATGGAATGACTTCTCTCCTTTTCTGAGCTTTTTCATAAGGCACTTGTACATTCTGCAGGCTACAGGATGCAAAGAAGGGAGGGTTTGCTAACAACTACAAACACTAGTTTGATAATAAATCACCAAAATATGGAAACTCCTGGTGAATGGAATGGCTGGTGGGTGGAGGTATGAAGACAGAGAAAAATAGTAAGAAGGAACTAGAGATAAAAGAACTTCAATGTAAGAGCAGTATAAATTTTATATGAAAGAATTAAGAGGATTTCAAGGAAATTAGTGGAAGAACCCAGAAGTCACACTCTTTGATCCCCAGGGCAGGCCACAGAACAGAAGCATTTGGTTTAGATTCATATGTAAACTGCATTCTCCTGCTTCTACTGATGGACAAAAAGGTTGCAGATATCCAGAATTCACCTTCACACCACCCCATAAGCATTGACACAATGCTTGGACTTTCAGCCAGTCTATTCCTGTATCACAAAGCCAAGTGCAGACTCTTAAAATGAGCTACACTACAAAGTTTTATCAGTTTCAGCTAAAACCTACAACCTGTAGTTCTTTCAAAGGGACCAAAGTTCTAATCAAAAAAAGAAAGTCTCAGCATCCTTACGAATACTACCTCTACAGGTGCCTGGATCAAATTATGACAAATCATCTGTAGTGTACCTGAATATTAAAATCTTTCAGTGCTATTACAGAAGGGTGGCAGCTGACAAGGAACCCAGGCCATCCTAGCCAAGCTACTGTAATATACAGTCTCAGCTAGGCAGGGGTACCTTACCAACAAGGAGAGCCAAACATAAAGAATACAATGGCTCGTAAAGCACAGCAGTTCAGAATTGTGTCCAGTTGCCTTAGATAACAGAACCTCTGTTGACATTTATAGATCACAGCAGAGTTTACATGATGTTGGAAGAGGATCTATGCATTAATCTGATGCTACTACTGGCCTCTCTCCTCCCAGATAATTTGGCTGTATTTATGGGATGCTACTCACTGAAATGGTGCAACAGCTTCTGGAGGCAGCACATAGGTGGAGCACTGTGTTGACTTGTTGTAGAAAAATTTCCTGTGAGCATTTTTGCTGAATGCCATAGTCCAGGGATCTGAGAAGAAAGCCAACGATATCAGATCAAATGCAGACACTTGAAAACAAATGAAATAAAGAATGAGAGAAGCATGGGTGGGAGATGGGGTCCTAAAGCAAAATCTTTGACTGTATTAGTCTTTCCTCCAATTTCCCTCAAAACAAGTACTGCTTTGGTCAATTCTGACACAGGATTTTCTGTGGAAGAATACCTATGAAGGGATTTGGAATAATCTGTGAGCAGCAGAAGTTAAAAAACTGTCTTCAAGTTCATTAAACTTTCTTGAAAAATCCATGCTGACTGCATTTTATTGCAAGAATACTTGCTCAGTCTTACACAAAAGAAAAGCATAAGATACAATTTCTGCCCAAGAGGGAACCTGTCCTCTAAAACACATCTGGATAATTCTGCATGTCATTGTTTCTCCCAAGAAACAGTCCTGAAGGGTGCAGTAAGACACAATTTCTCCCTTCTCAAGGACTACTGCTGTAAAAAAAAAAACCAAACTCTATGTGTCCCCAGAGAGAACCTGGCTTAACAGTCCCTGGGATGGCTCAAACAAACAAGATATAGTTCAGAGAACTGAACAGAGGCAGCAATTTATTCATTCAAATACTTCAAGAATTAATTAGTTATTGAAGTACCCATTAATTCATACAAAACAAAATAACAATTTTATTTTTGAGCACAGTTCCTCTGGAGTTCACTATCAGGTAATAGGATGATGGGTTTAAAAAATCAGTAGGCAAACTCATGAAATGTAAAAAGCAATGGTTGTTAGCTAAATCTAACTGGGAGCTACATCTGGCAGCTTGGATACCTCTGGTCAGTGTGCAAGCCTGCCAGGGTGACACCTTCTTCCCAAACTCCACTTTATTTCCCACCACTTCCTTCCATTCTTTCCTGTCAGCAAGATACCCAGTATTCAGTGCACACTGAGCATGCTCAGTTCTCAGTGTGATACTTTTGAGGCTATTTGGTTTTTGCCCCTTAAAGTTGGGTTTTGTACTTCTGCCATTCTCAGAATCACTCCAACTTTGTGATGTCATCCCCCTGTTTCTCGGTGACATTATTTTGGCTACAATCCTCTTGGCACTCATGAGTTGAACTTGTTGTTAGCAGGACTGATGAGCAGGGATGGCAACCTCATGTTTGAGGTGACTGACGGAAGACACTGGCAGGGGTGGAAAGGAAAAGCATGCATAGGATAAGAAGCTGACTCTGGATGGACAAGGCAGGACAGGGGGCATATGACAGAAACAGATTAACAATAGTAATCTCCTGCAGGAATTCTGTGCAACTCTTTTAACTAAAGCAAACAGGAGAATCCATCAAGTTTTCCTTTCACTTCCAATGCTTCCTGTGCATAGCTATGATACTAACAATTCAAAACATAATAAGAGGCAGCAAAGCAAATGACAGCATCCCATTGTGTGCGTATACTTGTGGGATCCTCCACTTCTGCAATGAGGTTTCTGCAGTTCCAAAAATAATCCAAAATGAGTACAGATGCTTGTTTCTGGACCTGGGCAGGTCTGCATTTCTCACAGAAGGGAGCTGACCTGTCCTAATCTCGAATCAAGTATTTCTGTTTGTGTCTTGAGTTAGTTTAGAATGGCAAAAGTCCTTTTCTACAAGCAGTGGGTCCTTCAAGAGCAACAGAACGAGCAGAGGCAGAGCAATCCTATTTGATACCGCCCAAGGAGAGAAACACTACTCATTTAATCTTTCTAACAGCAAACATAAAAACGAAAAAATGTCCATATAATTATCTCAAGATGAGAAAAGCATGATTCAAGTACAGCATGTTTACCCCAGGCTTTGGGTTTAGCTAACCCAAAAAGCAGTCTCTAAACAGAGAAAGACCTACCACTGACGGTCCGAATGATGTACAGTCCTTTGGGTACAAAGTGCCTGTCATCACGGCCAGTGTAGGACAGCCGTGGTATAACACCTGAGCTCTTGAGAATCTTCATCTCTAATCTAAGGCATGAAAAAATGGGGAGACAGAGCATTAAATACAAAAGACACAAACTACAGGTCTCAGCCGCAAATCCCTGCTCAGGAAACAACTTCAGCTGTGGGGCAGTATAAAAATTATTTCATCACCACCACCACCACCATCTCTAAACTGCCTAACTGAAACAACTGGGCAGTTTACAACAATAATTGTATAAGCATACACTGAAGTATCCAGATTCTAAGCAGGCCAGATTCTAACCAGGCCTGACCCTGCTTAGCTTCCAAGATTAGGCAAGATCAGGCACTTCAGGCTACACAGAAATGAAATAAACGATAACTCAGTAACAGCCAAAGCATGGACACAGCTTACCTCCGAGGAGGAGGATGAACAAAAACAGAGTCATCCCACAAGTTATGCCTGACCTTGGTGGCCAAGCAAAAATGTGTTGTTGTCACATCCATACCCCCTCTTTCTAGACCTTGTGCTATACCTCCAAAATATACCATGAGGTATAAAACAATTCCTCTTCTGGGTGTTCTGAGTACCCAAGACATGTAGAACTAAAAGCATTCCATGCTTCTTCCCAATTTTGGGGCTGGAGAGGGAAAGGGATGCTCTCTCCATTTCAGTTTCTGGGTTAGGTGGAAGTCTGAGGCTGGTCACACTTGCCACGGTGAGGGTAGCAAATGAAACTGCAGGGTCTAAGATGAAGGCATTAAGATACTTTAAATAATATAGAGCTACATAACTGGTTCAGAAGAATTTTAATGCAGCATAACAGATATCAAGACTCAGCAGAGAACTTTGCAAAGTGCTAAGAGAAAGCAAACAAAAGTCTCTTATACAAGCCACAGCCTCAGTGATTTTCAAGGCTGAAAAAAGAGGGAAAATAAGCAATGGATCTTATGTACAAAATAATTATAGTGATCTTTTTAAGAAGTCAACATTTGTCCTAGCAGGCAAGCAGTCATGCAACTCTTCTATGCCATAAAAAGAAGAGGATAGAATTCCGCAGGTCTGAAAAGAGTAATAGTGGAGGATACAGGCTTGACTACAGGAAGCCAAATACATTCTGTCCAATATATGCATGCTCCTTTTATACAGGCTGACCATTCCTCCCAAAAATGCAGAATTTATCAATATAGTTGAACAGACAGACCCTCGCTTTCCAAATAATAAGAGAACCCCTTTTCCAGTCTGCGAAATAAATCCTGCCAGTCCAGATTTTCTCAAGACTTACCTTAGAAAAATCTTTTCCATGTCCTCTAGCCTGTACACTTCTTTCACTCTGTGGAGAAAAGTCTATGAGCTGAGTAACACACTAGCCCCAACCCCTCACTAATTTGAGTTGCTACATGGTCTTCTAAAACTTTAAAGTGCCAGGACAGTAAGGAAGCTTTGCAACTGTGGCTAACTCTGTATTTAAAAATCTTACTGTCAAGGCACTCATACTGGATTGATAAAAATCCCAGTCTTTTGTAAAACGAAGTTTATCACCCTCATAACTTGGAAAAGACCAAGGAACTGGAAGGCAACATTATGTTTCCAAATGTCATGATTTCTAAAATTCTAAGGAACACACCCAATGGATTTTAACAGTTCAATTTAGCAAACCCCCCAAGTACTCTTTGTGACTTCAGGTAGCTGGTTTGACAACCCAGAATACCTGCCATAAGCTATTTTTAAATCAGTATCAGAAAAATACAGAAATATTACACAGCCCCTTTACATTAAATTAAACCAGATTTTGGAAAACATGCTGGTGATGGGCAAGCTTCGTGCAATTTAAATTCATTATCCCAAGAAAGAAAACTATGAAAACAAAAGAGATCCACTCTGCCTCTACCACATGGTCTGCTCCCAAGGTGTCCTCTTAGTGTTGAAAAGTCTAGTCCCTCCTTTGCCAGGACTGATCTACTATCCTCTCCACCCTCACCCCCAAATTTATAGCCTACAGACACTTGGGCAGTATCCAGTGCTGACACTCTGTTTATGCAATTTCTATTGAACTAATTTACAGAATCTTTAAAGCAACACCAGCAGTGTCTGCTGGCACAATGGGATTTGGAGAAATCTGTCACACCAGCATATGCTAATGACATTATATTAGGGACTGCTAGTACTAGCACTAGGTCAATGGCCTAAGTGAAGCAGCAGCATTGGAAATACACATATAAATAGAAAAGTTTAGGCTACACTTGGTCATGGATCCTTCTGTCCAGGAGTCAAGCCAGTTTATGGCAAGCTTGAGATCTTCACGTACTGAAGTGAAAGAGCATTTCTCATAATGCTACTCATCCTGGCTAGTTTTCTTGCATACCAATTAATGTACAGGCCCATTTTGCCTTTACCCATTCATGAAGTATTTTTAAATTATTACAACTTCAGGAGCTAGCAAGAATCCAAGAGATCTCACTCACCTGATGGGGTTCATATCTGGCCGGCTAGGCTTAGAGACTGCTTTTACAAACTTCTCTGCTAGCTGAATTCTGGAACCAAAAAGAAACATTTCTGCAGTTTAGGGTCCTGGAAATGAAGGATAACAATAGGAATGGTTTCTCCATAAATTTTATTATTCAGATAATCCAGTAACACATCTATAGGTTGATGAGATTTAGCAGTTCAGGAACAGTTAAGTTTAGCCTCTTCTCAGAAAATGGATTCTATGCTTCCTAGCCTATGCTCAAATGGTAAGATTTACTTTATCATCATTACATTTCTGTATTCTGCATTCCCTTACGTTTCTAAACCATCCAAAATTCAAAACTCTCTGGACAGTTTAGAACAATCTAAAAACATAAAATATAGCATAAAATCCTGTAAAAAGTCTACATGCTTAGGTCTACAATATGAAATAGAAGCCACCTCTGCTATAGATTTGCCTAAAGAGCAAAAAACAGAGCACCACATTTAGTGGCTTGATTTCCTCCTCATAATCTTTTAGGGAATACTCCTGTGCCCCCTAAATATTGTCAGGGGTGGAGCTGGGTGGATAAGATTATTTAGGTTCCCAGCACCAAAGTCAGAGACAACATTCCAAACTCAGATACTCCCTCTGCTTCCAGCATGGAGATAATTGCACAGGCTGTTTTCTAAGGTTGGAAAGGTGCCCTCAGAGAGGGGAAGGGGGTACAAGGGGTTAGGGAAAGGAGGAGACCACCGTTGCCAAAACACGAAGCATCCGGATGCTGATCCAGATGCCTTCCCCTTCTGAAGCACCCCCAGGTAGACGACTGAAAATGGCAATCAACCAAAAGCACAGAGTGGGAAGGCAGGATCACTTTCACTGTTCCTCCTGCTCTGCACGGGCTGCTGTAATTCTCTGAGTTCAGAGGCTGAAAGGCAGCTTGACAGAACTGTGCTTTAGCACCTGTTCAACAGTGCTGATTAAAAGCTCAAAGAGCAAACATACACGCCTCAAAATATATGTGAGCAAGTATTTTCCCAAGCTCTACTTACCGCTGATTGAAATGCTGTTCTCGGACATCACTGCCATTTAGTACCAGGGCATCTAGAATGTGAATGGCATTAATTTTTCGCTGTGCTTTCCCCTAGGGAGAAGGAAACAGGTACCTCACTCAGTGCTGCTGCATTTTGCAAGTGCTGCAAAAAAAATCATGTTTTCCATCTCTGCTTCAGTAAGGGAAAATGTAAACTTTTTAATTAGAAAATGCCTCTGCCTACATCTCTCCATTCTCCTCATCCACAATATAAACTCAATGAGTGATACTGCATACATATACACCTGTAGTGTTCTTAACTTCATTTCTCTGATGTTTAAAATAATTCCCATACATAGGAAATTTACTACATGTTATATACATGGAAGAATAACCAGACAGTAAAGCAAGGAAAATAATTCAGACTTTTGAATCTTGAGCTGTCCCTTCAAGAAACAGACAAAATCCCACTGGTATATCCCTTAATAGAAAGTTTGAGAACCTCTGAGCTCAATGAACTATCCATCAAAATTAAATAATTGCCTGACTTTGCCATACTGGAAGTCCCTTGAGGTCAGTGTTTGTATCTCCAAGAGTAGACAAACAGATACCTCAGCAAAATCCCCAAGCCAGGCATGATTAAAGAATGACACTCCTACATTGCTTTTTCTCAGCTTCTGATAATCAGAGAGATCTATCACTCATGAACATAGAAACGTTCTTCTTAATGGTCACTGAAACATCTATCCTCTACTAACTTTACCATTCAAGAAAAATTATTACATCATGCAGTAACAAATCCTCTAAATGAATTGCTGCATGAAGAAATACTTCTTTTTGGGTGTTTCAAACTCACCACCAATCAATTCCAATGAATAAACCTGGAGTTTAGTGTTTCAAGATTGCAATCTTCCTATATACCATTGGCTATTTTGTAAGCCTCTATCAAGCCCTTTTCCTAGCATTTTTCCCTCCCACAAATCTGAAAACTTATGAACAAACATCAAATCCCAAGAAGGGTAGTGATACTATCAGTGGACCAACTCACAAAATGTTCCTTCAACTAAGATGTATCAGAGAACAGTTTAGGGTTAGGCCCCAGCTCACTAAGGGTGGGGCCATCAAAGGAACTATGCACCTCTTCACAAATCTTCCAGTAATTAAAATCTGCAGCACAGGGTTTTCTGCCAGGGGTTTTCAGTCAGGTTTAAATTGCTTTATTTTAAACTTACTGAAACTGTAGAATGCCAAAGCAAATTTTATAGATAAAAATTGTGTTCCATTAGCACTAAATTTTAGCAAATACAGTGATAGCTCAGTAATATATGGCTTTACGAAAACAGGAAAGTTGACTCCATTGCATTGTCAAATGTTATGCTTTGTTCTCTTAAAATTTTGATACCAGTTCTTTTTATTGTTAAGAGTATCCCATGTAATTAATTTTGCATGATGTAGAATTTCTTACATTTATTTATTCATTTAAAACTTTTATATGCCGTCACCACATGCCTCAGCATCTCCGGACAGCTCACAAGCATACAATTAAAACAATAAAACAATAACAAATTACATAAAATTATATAAAAACAAAAACAAAAAAGTGACTGTTAATGATAAAATATTAATTTTTAACATAGCAATTAAATAAAAAGGTTTTAACCTGGCGACAAAAAGAATATAAACTCGACGCCAGGAACACCTCTCCAGGAAGCGCATTCCATACATAAACAACAGTGGAATTTAACATAAGAGGCTAAGCTTTAGTTTCCCTTGTTATGTTGAATTATTTTATTGTATGGGGTTGCACCCAATCATAATCCTAGTTAGAGCAGCCCTACTGAAATAAATGGAATTTCAGTTAGTCATGATTCAGATAGTCTCATTCATTTCAATTCTAACCTTGAATACAAGGTTTTCTGTATTTTATGACCTTTCTGTTAAGCACTTCAAGTTTACTTTGAAAGGAATGTGGAGTATAAAATGTTTAAACCAAATACAAATAGTTTCAAATTGATTATCCACATGGAATTTAACATATTTATTTTTATTTTATTAAAACATTTCTATATTCTGTTCCAATTAGATATACAATGGTGCCTTGAACTTCGAACATCCCAAAGTTCTAACACTAAAATCTAGGTAAGATCATTCCAAAGGTTGAATGATGCTTCTAAATTCAAACTGCAGGCACAGTGAAAAAAATGCTCCAGTGCTTTTTCAATTCATTTTCAGTGCCTTTTAGATCATTCTCACTGCTGAAATGGGTATTGTTCAGGGTACGGGAATGGATTAATTCACTTTCCATTATTTCTAATGAGGAACATTGCTTCAGACTTCAAACAGTTTAGAGTTCAAATGGCCTCCTGAAACAAATTAAGTTCGCAGTATGAGGCACCACTGTACTCAGTTACATTACATTAACGAAAAAATTACAAGAGTTGGAGATGTTCAACTATGGGTTGCAGAACTATCTAAACTAGCTCTAGTAGTGTAAGCAACACCTAGTCTGATGAAGTTGTAATAACTTTGCAAAATGCCTTGTGCAAACAACAGCAGAACAATTTGTGTGATGCAACAGCTTGTACAACTGTTTGTACGAATGGAACCAAGTATTGCCTAGACATGTGCCCCATAATAAAAACAGAGTTTCTGCAAGTGTTAGAAGCTTTGCACTAGCAGAATGGCCTCAGTGGGTAAAGCCCTATGCTCTTGAATGCAGTTGGCAGCAGGACAGCAGGAGAGATATTTTCATGGCCTGGTATACTTTATAACAAAGTATCCACAATAACAACAACAGCAACAACAACTTGCTAGGGTTATTCATTATGTTCTAATCTCAGGGACTTTTAAGTAATTCATTTTTGTATCCCCTGCAAAAGAGTGCTGCTGGAAAGGAACATATTAGGATAAACTATCTGCTACCTTCTATTAAAGATTTTTGCTTCTTTATGCTTACTTATCTTTTTTGGTAATCCTGCAGCAAGCTTTATTCTGCAAGCCTAGTAAATCAATAGGGAAATTCCACAGTCACCTCCATTGAAATGCAGCCATTTCTGGAAAGGAGAGTGATGGCTGCAGCATTTGCATGTGGCTTTGAATGTGTGCTCATGTTACTAAGTCAGATAATGAGGCAACAAAGGAGGAGGCAGAGAACATCTACTCAGGGCAAACTGACACATGACCTTAATTTGAATTTTAAATTTGCCAACAAATAAATGCCATCTTCCTTACCAGAAGCCCCAGCTAAAATGCTGAAATTATCCCTTTCCTAAAAGAAGAACATTATCTGACCTCTCCTTTCAACTCAGGAACTATCTCCACAGACAGAAGGGTGTCCCGTGGCAGTTCTGTTTTCAAGTCCAGTTTGGTCCAACGATCTGTTGGGCAACCAGCCCAAGTGTATATCTGAGACTTCTGCATGTAAACAAACAGGAAGGTGGAAAGATTAAGGACTGAAGGACCTCAGTGAGAAAGCCCTATGCTCCCGAATGTAGTTGGCAGAAGGACAGCAAAAGAGATATTTTCATAGCCATGTATACTTTACAACAAAGCATCCAAAAAGGATGTAAGCAGCGAAAAATACAAATATAAAAAATTCAGCTAGGTTAGCAAACTTCTCCTAGCCACAGGAGCAACAGTCTTAATTGCACAGAAGAGAAGGATAGATCAGGTAGAAACATGTAGTCAGTTTATAAAACAAGGTTCTACCTGACTTGTAAAATATCAGAAACTAGGAAATGGAATCCACTAACCAAACAACTGCCTCTGTAACATTAGCCAAAGACTAGAACAAGTCTATTTCAGAATATAAACAGCAGCAGCAAGAGACTAAATGACATTCTAAATCAAGCTCTATGTTGTTTTAACACACATTTTCCCCTCACTGAAACCCACTAATATATTTAGTTATTGCCACTTACCCCTAGTGCTAGAAGAAACTTCTGCTCACTTCCTGATACCATACATCTGTAATCCAACACTGGCCGGATCTTCTCCAAAGTTTCTGAATTCAGAGGGGTCGCTTTGTAACTGAAGATCTCTAGTTTAGCACCCTGAAGCAAAACAAATGCAGAGAGGAATACTAACCCAACAGGTAGACCATAATGACTGGCATTTAATCAACCCACATTTCTATACTGTATACATGGCTCTAATGCCATATTCTTCTTTAAGTGGTCAATCACCAGAACAGCTGTGTAAGAGCTGATCCAGCAGAAAGATACCGTTTGTGAAAGTTATACTTTCAAATACAAGGTACATAATAAGAGATCCAATGTTTCTGTGGTTGATAGGAATGGCAGATACATCACACAATAAAATTCAAGTGCAAAGCTACAATTGCACACTTTGAGGAGCACCTTATTGGTTTGACTGAACAAGATAAAACCTTGTAGGGTTTCTTGCAAATTTGCTTTTATGACCCCACAATAAGCAGCATTTATTTCATCTGAGCAAAGAGAACAGACAAAAACTGAAAGTCTCACCTGAATTAGCTCAAAGAACTTGGATTTTGGATCAGAAGAGGATGGAGCAACTCGGGCCTGATCTGGAATCTACAACAATCAAAAGCCCTGTTAGACCAGAAGGAACTGGCTCTCACATATTTTTCCACTTCATCTTTTGCTTTAGTACATCAAACATAAAGGATATATAAAAGGAAATTAAAAGAAACACTAGACAAACACAGGTTAATATATTACCATTTATGATAAAGAAAACAAATCAGGGTATTTGACTTTCTCAGATGCAATTGTTGGATCAAAGTTTTCTTGTACCACAAATGCTCATCTTTCTTCTTCATGAACAGAAGATTGTAACACAAGGAGTACTGAAGGTTTTCAACTGTTATTACAAGCTAACCAGCTGGCTTTTACATATACCTGCAAAATGCCCAGTAGATTCTAGCAGTTCATTTAAATGTGAAAAATAGAAACAACCATCCATTTTCTAAAACATAAAATTGTTTTCTATGCAGCATATAATTAGCCTATAAAATATATTGCCATAAAAATCTCCAAATTCAGGACTCATGCAGAGAAGTCAAGTTCAGCTGAACTTGTTTTCATTTTTTTTCAGCTTTCAGCTACACACTATAACTTAGTCCAGTGGCACCATCTGCAGGGTAGTTTTAATGAATGTTACATTTTTAAAAAAAATTCACTCCAGCCTGTGAGATTCAAACTCTGGAATATTTCATGTAACTAGTTGAAGTTGAAAAACAAAATGGTGTCTTTTTGGGTCAATCAATCAAGAACAACACTGCATGATGTTTCACAATCACTAACTTCTTTTAGAAAAAGAATAGGCAACCTTTTAAACTGCACAATGTTTCCTTCATCCCGTTTGAGATGAAACAGACAGGTACTGAGAAAATAGTAGCTTTTAATGTCCGAGTAATTCATGTTCTTTTTGTTTGTTTTGCTTTTGCACTCATCCAGCTCCAGATGAAACAGGTACTTAAACCCTCTCCCCCACTTCAACACCTCTGTGGTTGATCCTCTAAGTTAAATAGCATATTAAAGACATAGCTAGCAGTGATGTCTTTTTTCCTTACTCAAAAGAAAGTGTGAATTACCTGATATATATATATGTGTGAGAGAGTGAGAGCGAGAGTGAGCGCGAGCGCACGCGCATCAGTTTGAATGGCTTTGTGAGGAAGAGAAGCAGGACTATCTGCTTGAAGTGGGGTGGTCATGTGCACCCTGCCCAGCCTTTCCCACAGTGGCAGAACTGAGAAGGTGGCAGATCCCAGCTAGGCCCCCAGAAGGCTGGGGAGTCACCATCTAGGGCCAACGCATTCCAGCAGCCTTACAGCCATTTCAAGGAAGGTTGGGTCACCAGGCTAGTTCTTCATGGAGACTTCCTGAAGAGCAGCCTGTTTCCTCGGTGAATCATATACATAAGGAATGAATGCCTGCTTCCCCCTTCCACTCCAGTCAACCTACCCTTCACATTTTCTTTTCATGTTGTGTCTTCTAGATTTTAACTTTTAGACTTCCTTTACATTTGTCAAAACTTAAAGTCTAAAATATTTGGACTGGTGACACAGATAGCACTATAACAAAAGAAACCATAGAATCACAGAATAGTAGAGTTGGAAGGGGCCAAGAAGGCCATCAGGTCCAACCCCCTGCTGTTGCAAGTCACCAATTTAAACCATCCCACCCAGAGGACTGTCCAGTTTTGTCCTGAATGCCTCCTGTGTGGAAGAGTGCATGACCTCTCTAGGCAATTGGTTCCACTGTTGGATTGTTCCGACAGTGGGGAAACTTTCCCTGATATCTAGCCTGAATCTAGGTTGTAGCAACTTCAGTTGATAATTCCATGTCCTGTGCTTTGGTATCAGTGAGAAGGGATCTTGACCTTCCTCTCTGTGACAGCCTTTGAGGTATTTATAAAGAGATATCATGTCCCCCCTCAGTCATCTCTTCTCAAGGCTGAACATCCCTGGTTCTCTCAGTCTCTCCTTATAATGCAGTGTTTCCGAACTCTGGATCATTTTTGTTGCCCTCCTACAGAACCTTTCAATTTTTCTGCATCTTTCTTAAATCATGGTGCCTGGAACTGAGCACAGTATTCCAGATGAGAAGTGACATAGTGAAGAGTATAGAAGTATTGCTTCTCATGATTTGGAAGTAATATTTCTATTAATGCATCCCAAAATAGCATATTCTTTTTTGCAGCTTCACTGCATTGTTGACTTATATTTAACCTGTTGTCCACACTAACTCCAAGATCTTTTTCTTTTTCATTTCTGTTGAGCCACGTATTGCCCATCTTGTATCAATGCATTTGGTTTCTTTTTCCCAAGTGGAGGACTTGGCATATGTCCCTAATGAATCGCATTCTGATGGTTTCAGCCCAAAATTCACATTTATCAAGATAGCCCTGGATCTTCATTCTGTCTTCTAGAGTGTTTGCTATTCCACCCAGTTTTGTATCATCTGCAAATCTGATCATCTTTCCTTGTACTTCCTCATCTAAATCATTAATAAAGATGTTGAAGAGCACTGAGCCTAGGATTGAACGCTGCAGTACCCCACTCATAGTCAAATCACAGTCACCATCTCTCTCTTCTCCCTGCCACCCTCATCCCTGGAAGCTCTTATAAGTGAGAGTAAGACAGCAAAAACAGAATAAACTCCATCTGCCATACCCTCTAGTCAAATCAAAGATTTCCACACTGTGTTCCAGAAAAACCTGGAATTTCAAGGTTTATCAGGATTATCTCAATGAGCAAAACAGTAATGGCAGACTGAATCTCCCTTGCAAGAAGACACTGCAGAAGAATTGCAGATATAATTTAAAATGGTCTGTCTTATACATTAGACACCACATGTTGGAATAAAGCTATTCTCCACCCCAAAATCAACAGACATCTGATTTTTGAAATAATCTTCTTCTGTGCCCTTATCTATTGCATTAACAACATTCAGAAGGAGTAATTTGTTCTTGGATGTCATATAAAAAAAGCATATAAAATACTGATGCCAGAGTATTCTTGATTTCCTTCCCCACCCCACCTTCCTTTTCCTTTTGTGTTGTGTCTTTTAGACTTTAAACTTGAGGGCAAGGACTGTCTTGTTATTATTGATCTGAAAATCACTCTGGAAGCCTTGTTAGTTCAATAGGGAATATAAATGTTTTAAATAAATATATTTTGGACTACATAAGCCATTGATCTGCTTCAGCAAGATGCTTCTCTTCTTATAAAAACTGACACTATTTTGAGTTTCAGTCTCCATATTCAGAGCCTCCAGAATGCCCCATGATGACTCTCTCTGACAGAGAATAGATTTTGCCCATATTTGGCATGCAAAAGTACCCACCTTCCATTAAAAAAGAACCACAGGAAATACACGCCTAGAGTTCTATGTCCCATGATGTTACTCACCCCCCAGAGTCGGAGGCATTCTTTTCGGATATCAGCCTGCCGTGGTTCATTCAACGTCCTAGGAGAATATGTAAATTTTCTAAATTTCAAGCAGAAGGTAATTCACCTTCCCTCCCGTCTGCTTCAAAACAGGTGAATTTCTGTCTATCGATTCACACACATTTTATTCCCTGTAACAGGTATCATTGTTTTGTTTTACAAAGGCTCTATCAATGGAAAGGATTTAGAGCAAGTTTCAAACCCTCACATTAGAGCCTGTGAACATGGAACACTGGTTCACATGACATGGCATCCCATCATGAGTTTCCATATCACTAGAACCCAGATGACTTCTTTCTGGTGTGTTGTTTTGAGGCAACAAGCCACTCTGTGACAAGCTATGGATTGTTCTAGGGTTATTAACCCAGAATGGGTTGGTTTGCAATCCAAGCCTGGATTACCATCCTATTGCAGGTTGCAGGAAGCACCAAGTAAGCCTCTCAGCAAAAACAACAAAACCGCTTTGCCACTTTTGGTCAATTCAAAATTCAATTCAAATGATGCTCAAGCATCATTTTTATGCAATTGTCAGTGGCTTGTTACCACCACCATTAAAAAAAGAAAAAGGGAGTGGGGGACAATTCAGGCCATAATTTTTTCTCCTGGCCCAAAATGTAACGTCTTGCCTGGCTAACATCCTGGTAAGTGCCTGCTCTTCAAGTTCAATAGCTAACATTCATACATACTGACCATGTGGGGCTGCATATCAGAAAAGCAAATCAGTGAACAATTTCTGTGAGTGTATTGCTCCCTTTTGATCCTTGAGAAAAGTAAAGTCAATGCAAAAAGCTGAAGTCACTCACTCCAGTGACACATGACTAACTTTTATTAGATTGGGGTCACTGTTAAGCAAGTTTCTCCTAAATATTTAATGTTTTACCCCACCGCCAAACAAAAGTCATTTTCAAATGAGACTGACTGCGTAACAGCTGAAACAATACAAATGTCAATTTTCAGTGAAATGCTTAAGTAAGATCTATTTATTTATTTCATGTTTAAACCACCCAATAGCCAAAAGACTCTCTGAGCGGTTCAGAACATTAAAATCTAGCTCTCATAAAACATACTCACGTATCTTGAACAAATGCACGGATTTTGGCCAGTGCTTTGATCTGAACAGCACACAGTCTGAAAGACAAAACAAGCCCATTTTAGAGCGGATTACCTGTTGTCCAAGTGGATTCTTATCTAAACATTTTCTGGATCAGAACAATTTAAACAATAAGAAAAGTATTCAGTATATAACCAAACACACTAAAATGGCATTGTTAGGGAATTAAGGAATACTTCATTTACATTATTTCTTCCCAAAAGCCAATTCAGAAAGCCTACTTTTCAGAAGGACTGTGGATGTTATTTATTTAGAGAAAAAGATTTAATACTGATGTCCAGATAAAATAAAAAGAGAAACAAATGGTTAGCCAAGATAATATAAAATATGTAACCAATAAAATACAGTACTGTGAAAAGAAAAACTAATAAAATTTCAAATAATGAATAGATATTAGTACTAACCAACAGCAACAGTACAGTGTAGAGAATGTTAGTTATTGGACAGATTAGAAACATTATAAACTAATAACTAAAGTAACTTGCCCCCTAGGTCCAATCTCCTTCAACTAAAATTAAATGCAGAAGCTAAACTAGCCATGTTTCTCGGCTGACCTTTGGAGACAAAAGTACGGCCAGAGGCCACAGAGAATGCATTATCTTATTTGTCTATTGACAAACAAACATTGGTTTGGCCTGACAAATTAATATGATGGAGATGCATGTCCCATAAAGCTCATCAACTTGTTCTCTCTTGAGAGATAGTCCACAATATAATGACTTTCGGAGGAAGACCTCATGTGAGTAAGCAATTTGGAAAAAGTCACTAGCAAAAAAGATACCATATTAAGAAACTGAGCCTGCTCCATGCAAAATACTGGTTTCTTTGTACAGCTCTTCAACTCACCTTTCATTTGAACGAACCATGTAATCAAAGAAATCATGGTCACCTTTGATTACTTCCAGGGGAACAACAAGGTTAACATCCTGGTCTGAGTTGCGTTGCTGATTGAGTTTGATGTTCACATTGAAAAGGTAGTCTCTCACATCATCAGTTCCAGACTTTAATCCACGACATACCACATACCTGCAGAGAAAGAGACACTCTGTTAATGTAACATTAAGTTCTGATGAATTGGACTAGACAAAATACATACAAACTTAGAGAAAACCTTTTTTGTTTTGCAAGGGATTTGTACTGAATTATTTCCACTAATGCAAAGACCTTTTATCATTTTTTTTCACATTCAACCCTGTAGACCACTGGTTCACAACATTGGACCCCTGAAGCTGTCAAACTAGAGCTTCCACCATCCCTGACCACTGGCTGTGCCAGCTGGGAATAATGAGCATTGTAGTCCAATATCTAGGGAATCCAGATGTTGGGAACCACAGTTTAGATAACATTCCTCTGTTAAAGATAGGAAAATGAGGAATATGGAGTTGTCCTAAATTTGCTGCAGCATCTTATGCTACAATCCTATGTACATGACTTGGAACTCTGTCCCACTGAACTCAATAGGGATGCTATTAGAAACAGACTGATTTGATCTGGGCTTTGGGGATGAGGATCAATGACTCCAAAGGCATCAAATGAACTGGGAAGGAGGAGGGTATATAACCACTTCATGGTTGCATTCTCTGTGATATAACTATTCTAGAAAAACACTTCAAAACAGCATTTCTCAAGGTATGAAGGATTACAAGTGGCTTTCCCAATTTCATTTCGATGTACCAGCAAATGCTTAGATCTTGCATCACATCCAATTGTTTTGATAAACCTTGCAAAATGTGATATATGAATCTGAGGGGAGGGGAGGGGAGGGGAGGGGAGGGGCAAGACCAGTAGTCCCTCTTTTCTGTCAAATACCCTTTTCTCCCCAGAACACCTTAGGGAATTTTTCTCTTCCCACTTTCAGAGCTTGCATCTGAAACCAGATTGTACCAAAGCTGCAGCTATATCCACCTTTTTATCACAACCAAGGAGATCACTACTTCAGCTACCACATTTTGCCAACTCACCTCTCAGAATTGGCAGGACGGCTTGTCACAGGTTTGAAGATTGACACACGTTCAAAGCAGCAGTACAGCAAGTACACCAGGCCAACACTGAATGGTGTGAACAGGTCAAAGGTTTTGCAGACAAAGTGCCCTCCTGGAGTAGAAAAAGCAAAGTTCAACTAGCACCTGACAAAGATGAGAAGTGCACACTATTTTAATGTTTAGCACCTTTGTACCCCACCCTTCCAGCAAGGCAATGACAATGCTGCATTTGACAAAATCACAGTTTCAAGAATCATTTGTTCAACCCAGAGAGAAAATCTCACTCCCTTTCACCTTTCCCTTATCCCTTGAAAACCTAAGAAAGGACTCCAAAACAAACATTCACAGAGCAATGCTAGGAATTTTCAGGGCATACATTAAGATCCCCACTGCCTAGCTATAAAAATTGCATATTTTGCAATCATCTCAACTGAAGAGATGCCAAAAGGAAAAATATGGGTTTTCACATTCAAATCTTATTTTAAATGTACTAACGTGTAATTACGAAAGAGGAAAAGAAGGACCAATGCAGAATGAAGAGTCTTATCTCTTACAAAACATCTCAAAAGGAAGTGATTCACAAGGAGGGAGAGAGTTAGAATTTGGAACAGTAAGCACTAAAGCTCAAAGAATGGAAGATAAATCTGGACACAGACAAAACAGAATGGGGGAGTACCTGTCCGTATAACAGAAAGTCCTGTTAGAAACTGGCAAAGAAGCAGCTGCTTGCTTAGAATCTCTTGGATGTTTTCCTGTCCCTCTACAGAGAAACCCTGAAACACATCAACAGTGACTCTTAAAGCAAGCAAGTCCAGTATCATAGTCTATGTAGTAGAGAACTAAATCTCACTTCCCATGCTTCTGGTCCATAAGTCAAGAGACATCTACTCATCACACACCATAGTAAGGGACCCTCCCCATGTTGGAGAGCATGATAAATCATTAACTATTTACTGAACTATGTGATGCCTTCTCCCTACTCCCTTGCATGAACCAGTGCTGAACACACATCTCCTGTCCCCCCACTTCCCAGAACCAGTAACAGAGAAGGAAATACATGTTTGGCTACAGAGGAATAAAACGGGAACAGGGAGGAAGCAGCAGTATTGAGAGCAGCTGGCTCCAGACTCAGGAGAAAGGGAAAGATATGCTTCCCTCTACCACCTCATTCCTCTGAAAAAACTAGGATTTGTTCAGCATGAGAGAAGCCGCTCGCATAGTCTGCTACACGCACACATCACTTGAGCTCTGACAGCTCTGATTAGAATGGACAGAGATGTATCAGTGGAAGACAGCAACAGCTAATGCACTGTGCACTGCCTAGCACAGAAAAGTGATACAGCGAAGGGATACAGGAATGAAGAGGCAGCTGGAAGCTTGGAATTGAGGAGATCATCACGGACCTGGCCCTTGAATTCAGAGCTCAGTGTCATGCTAAATACAGATCTGACTCTCCAGATCAGAGTCACAAAGTTGGGTTGGCCACCAAGGCCAAACAAAATTTGTGCTGGAATTTTCACCATTTTCTTCTGAGAAAAAGGCCTCTTTTGGAGTGTTAAGGGTTCAGCTTTGGTTAGCAGTTAGTTCATTGTTGTGTTTATGTTTTACTTACTGCAAATGTAGGTCAGGTATCTAAAATCCCTAAGTAGAAAAAGGACTGTACTACGATAATAAGGAAGCAGACTCAAAGCTGCAGTTTGTCATCAAAATCTCTACTGTAACATTCTGTGGATCTCTGTGCAGTGTATTTAGGGTTTTTTGGTGGGCAATTCAGGAGAAATAAAAGGAAATACTTGGTCACACTCAGTATGGTTTGACTATGGAATTCACTTCCATAGTCCACTACAAGATGTAGTGGTGCTTACCAATCTGAACAGCTTTTAAAGGGAATTGGACAAATTAATGGAGGAGAAGGCTACTGGTTTTAAATGGCTATATGCTATCCAGTATCAGGGATGGTACAGCAATATACCAGTCGCTGGGGAACTTGAGCAGGAGGGTACTGCTGCACTCATATCCTGCTTGTGGCTTTCCTGTGGCTGGTTTGCCACTGTGTGAGCAGAATGCTGTACTGGATAAACCATTGGTCTAGATTCAGCATCGCTCTTCATACATTCTTTTATTGCATTTCAGTGCCAACAAAACTACTTCATCCCAAAACAAAACAAACTGATCCATTATTTACTTTCAAAACAAACCAATGCTATGAATCCCCCCACCCCCCAAAATCCTCTATACATCAACACACTTACAAGAAGTTACATATCACAGCACAGTTACAAAATTGAGCTGCCTTAGTAGCTCAGGAAGCAAAGGCTCATACCCCATCAGCCATCAAGAAATGCACACCCTTGCGATCTGTATTATCTAGCACAAAATTCTGGAAAGCAC